TTATTATGGTTAACATAGAAATTATAAGTAGGAATTATATTTATCTGTTAATTTTATAATTAATTTAACGAATAATGATTAATAATCAATATTTTATCATTTCCAAATTGATGCCAAGATATCAAAATTACATGGTCTACAGTTTTTAAAATATATGTATTCTAATATACATATTATAAAAAAGTTCTACCATTTCTTCATTTTAAAATACTAAAAAATTACAAAAAAATTATTAGAATGAGCGAAACGGTACATATTTATATAAAATTAGTACAAAATTTTGGCTTTATGCATATTAACAACATACATTTTTTCAAAATAATAGAAAATGTCTTTTTAGCTGAAATGTAAATTGAATTATGCCTGTATATTAATTCGTATATTTTTTTTTTGAATCAGTGCTTAATTGAATCAACTACAAATGAATTATTAGAAAAATGGAATGATCGTCAGAATTCGTTTAATTATATATCCTATTGTTTGATATTACGCAAGATTAATAATAAGGAGAATGAAACTATGGATATTTGTAAACGACTTCTAAAAAATTTAAATAATTTGGCATACAATGGATACGAGGAATATTATTTATTCGCACGTTGTAAACTTTTAAATTATTGGTTTCATTATGAGGTGAATAATATTTCAAATTCGGAAAGTGCAGATGATGTTAAAAAAACTGTAGAAGCGATTTATAAAGTATGGACAGATTATAATAAGAATCATATATATACAGATGAAAAAAGAAAATGCAAACCTGAATATACTATTCTTTCATTCAAAGATATTGAAGATGGTAATAAAATTCATGAATGTTGCTTAAATCATTATACAAATAATATTAAATATGTTATAGATGATGATTGTACAAGTTATTATGACAATATAAAGAATAAATGGCCACAATATGGAGCAAGTGAAAGTTTATTTTCAGAAGAAGATAATGAAAAATGTAGAATATATTATGATAAATGTAGAACTTATAATGCTAAATTGGATTTCCTTAATGTACACTGTCTGAAGGGAGTTATGAAGGCCAAAAAATTTTCAAACACAAAATCACAATATCACACACAACATTCAGAAGAACACCCAAGTGGAGTACCTGGACAGGTGCAAGTAGAAGGGGAGATATATGGCAATGATACTTCTCCAATAACTTCACAACGTAGTCACCCTATCGGTCTGTCATTAGGGTTTTCATTTCTTGGAGCAATTCTCTTTTCTACTGTTTTATACAAGGTATACAATATTTTTATTTAAAAAAGCTATTAATATACTTAATAATACATTTATATCCTACAATAATAATTATTATTTTTATTATAATACAAATATTTTAATATTTTGTTCTTAATTATAGTTTACACCATTAAAATTCGCGTTAAATAAATTTATTACCAATTACAAGAATTCCAGGAACAATGTAGATAATGAGACATTCCGTGAATTCTTAGAATATACGTACGATTCAGGCAATAATAATAAGCAGAACGAACAAAAGTACATAGCATATCATTCTATATAATTATCATTGTTTTAAAATAACATATATGATAATTCACTCAACATAGTTGTGTTGAATAGCATATAAATGAAATTACACACATGCACATGCACAAAAATCTCATAGAAAAAAAGTAATTAATATTTTAATATAAACTGATTTATTTTATAGATAAATTATTTTTAAAATATTGAACTTATTACAAATCATTCATTAAATATAAGAAAATTCTGTATTTTTATATTGAAAAATTTTCCTCATATATGTAATGCTTTTACAAAAATTCCATTTCAAACATAGTAGCTATAGCTAAAATTGACCAGAATAGTCTTTTACCTTTTATGCATGTATTTTGAAAAATAAATTTATGTTTAACTAACATAAAGAAATATATATATACAAACTATTATAAATTGTAAATATATCTTTTAAACGAAGTGATCATATGGTATGCAACAATGTATATAATAATGCTGTTAATTGTTCATTACATTGTTTTAAAAAATTAAGATAATAACAAATATTTTTTATTAGAAATAAAATAATTAAAAAATAGTCTTAAAAAATCAGTAAAAAAGAAAAAAATACATACTTCTCCTTTTTTAATTATTTAATATACTCAAAATATATATATAAGAAAATTTTGCATAAAATAACTGAGACACATAAAACATTTATTAATAACTTTAAAAAATTATCAAAATTGTATATAATGTTGAAATGAGGTTATTTTTGATATTTATTCACTTACAAATAATATCAATATTGAATTATTAATAAATCATAAATAGTACATATTAGTTAATTATTACTTTGATGCAAGTGCTGGTATAGGGATAATAATGGAAAACGGATGAATATTCTTTTATAAACATATGAAATTATTAATAAAATTATATTAAACATTTACATTACATAAAATTGTTAACTTAAGTATTTAAAAGTATTTATATGTAAATCATATATTACGAAAGTGCATTATAAAATCTTAATACTTTTTTTGAAAATTAATTTTAAAATTGAATAAATTATTGATAAATAAAAGTAAATATCACAAAAGGCATCATTTTGAGCAATTATTTTACGACAATGTTAAATGGAAGAGGAATTCATATTTGAAATATCATTATCATCGAATATTGAGAAGAAAGCTTTTTATTTGATATATATTAATTTCTGAGTAATCACAGTGCACTGACAAATTAGATCTATTAAATAGTGACCAGATAAATATATAATATATATTAGTACTTAAATTACTACATATCTTTAATTTAAGTATTATTAATTAAATCAATTTTAATATAAGTGTAAAAACGATAGTAAAGAAATAAATGTTATAATATTTTCCATATTTATAAAGTTTTAATAATTTAAAATTAAAGAGATATTATAATTTAAAGGATTCAAAGTGGAATTTATCAAATATTTTCATTTAGTGATATAGATCTTCCTTAAAAAACCGTACTTTTGTTAAAAAAAAATATAATTTAAGATTTGTGCTATATGTTAATATTTTTAATTAACTTTTTGTGAATATATGCTTTCAGGAAGTTAGTTTTTATTAAGAGAGAAACGCATAAATGAAAATAATTCTCAATATTTTTTTAAATAGGGAACAAAACAAATTTATGTTTCACTTCTAACTAGCGAAGCACATTTTCTATTAGACCAATAAGTGATAATTTAAAAATAAAAATAAAATAATATATGAAGGAAAAGTAAACATTTGGAATATAAAAATGTAGATCAATTAATGGAGTAACATATCATCAACTTTAATTTTTACACAATTAAAATTCAAACAAACATATGGTAATGTATTTATACATTCTTATTCACATTCATATTTTCAATATGTATATTTTCTGTTTTTACGTTTGCGCAATATTAAAACTTGTTATAAAAATAATAGAATATATACTTTTTTTCTGTTACAATATAATGAAAATTAATATAAATGCATGATTATAGACAATGAGTACGACAACAAAAACTATGCATCATTCACCTATACTTTGTTTAGAAAAAAAAAGATTTATGTTTAAACGATTTTAAAAGGTCTAAGAAATTATTAATGCATTTTCCAACTATTTATATAACAGTGAGTACATTATTAGCATGAGTTTATGTGATAACGTTTTTAAAAAACGAAAAATATTTATTGGTGTTATCTTTTACTCTTCATTGCTTATATTTTCGTACTTAACAATATAAAAGATAACATAAATAATAGTTAATACGAATGTTCCAAATGTTATTATATTGCCTGTATAATATGTATTTATATATACTTAATAATCATATTCATGTGTTACAATAAAAAATATTTATGTTAAATCTGATATTAGAATTATATAGACAGACAGGGTAAATGAAAAACATTAAATCATATACGCATGGAGTTATATAAAATATATTTTTTTTTACTTATTATGTTATCTTAACATATACATTATTTGAAAACATTTATGTAATAAAATAATGGAAAAATATTTTCCATAAAGCTTGCTTCTGATTTTGTTAACAATATTTAAAATGCTAAATTATTTTTTTATACCTTATATTAATATAAATCTTGCTCAGAATAACTTATATATATAGATTATATATTAAGTCATACATACTTTCTATTTCCTGTTTTACCTGAATTTTGATAATAGATTCGTGAATATTCTGATTTTTTCCCTAATTTTTAATCTACTAATAATACTTAATTTCTTATTCCAAGTGTTTTATCCATGTAATACGCCTTATTCAATGATTAACTAGTAAAACAGTTAAAAAAAAAGAGAATGTTATATTTTGAAGCTTTAAATAATTTTACTCTAAGAAAAAAATGATAATGAACTAAAAATAAGACTAAAAATGGAAGAAAATTCCGTAGTAACTTTATCGTACATTTTTTTGGATTTTTGGGATGTAATTAAAAAATTGTATACAAATAATATTTTCCTTTTAGCACATTTAGAAAAGTATAATTTTTAGTTTGTTATCTTGAATATGCTATGCTCTATTTTTTAAATGGTATCAACGAGCGTTAATTGTTTCATAGTTTCCCATTTTTTTTTCTTCATATACCTATGGGTTAATTTTAGTGCGTATAACGAGAAAGAAATTCATATATGAAAGTAAGAATTAATAAATAATAAATTTGTTCGATGATATAGTTTTTTTACATGTATAGTTGCTACTGATGCTTGTGACGTATATTAAAAATTTTAATAATTTTATTTCTAGAATTTATTCTATATAAAATTAGCTAAAAAATATACATTTTATAATTGCTGTTTCATAACTCATCACCTATTTTATGTTATCAAAGTTTCATCCAAGCTCATTTCAGTTTATTTATATATATATTTGTATATTAAATTTTTTTTCCTTTGTACAGTTTCAGCAGCTTGTGAGACCAAACCTATATTCATCATTTTACTCGTAAATTATACATTTCATTTAATTTTTCTTTTAGATCATAAAAATTTTAATCGATTACTCATGATCGTTTACACAATATGATATATATTTTTTTCTATATAGTAATATTCTCCCTACTCTACATATTTCTCACTTATAGAACAGTCACTTTGTCATCATTTAATGAATTCATTTAAATACTTGGGAAGTGGAATATATATGTATGAGTATTATACAGAACAAAGGGATTATCCTTTACTATTTCATATTTATCTATACGATACTCCTTATTTATTGAGTTCATATATATTTTGTTGGTTATTTTACGTCTTTTGAGTATTAATTTTCGGCACAGAATAACATTATACATAATATATACGTCAATGAAGTATATTTCATATTTTAATTATTTATTATAAAGAAAAAAATGTTTCCTATATATATATATATATATTTATTCATTTTATATATAACATGAAATTTGCTTTGTAACAAATTAATTAGAAGACATAACAACTACTTATATTAATAAAAGCATAATATACCATGTAAATATAAAAAATACCTACTGTGAAATATGTAACACTTATATGAATTCAATATTTAGAAAGGAAAATGAAACTAATACATTCAGCAAATAAAATTGAGTGTACATATGGATTATTTATTACACAACAAAATGTTAAACTTAGTGAATGAATTATATTTTACAATTAGGATAAAATTTACATAATAACAGATAAGTTACAGTTCTTAAGGTTTTAAAACTGTAATTATTTTATTAAACTATTTGAAAATTTATTGTGGACAAATTATTCTTTGAAAAATACTATTTTCATAAAAATAATGTTGGTTTCAAGCTAAATTACTCTTATTTATCTGTATAATATATATTTTTTAAAATATATACCTATTTCATACCACTGAGATTTTGAGGGAAATTTTAAACAAAATATGGAATAAGCATTATCAAAATACTATAAATTATTCTGTCAGCGAAAATATTATTAAAATTTTTAACATATTTATTTTCTTTTATTTATGCAATTTAATAGATATTGTTACTATTGTTTTATATTGTACATTTTAAAAATGATTTATTATATGGATAAAATATAATTTTAATAGAAATTGTGCAAAAAAAACAAAAAAAAACATAAAAACATTACTAAACACACCTAAGACAATTTATTCTCCAATAATACGAAATAAAAAAATTTACAATAATTAATTATATTTAAAAACCAAACATTTTATGAATATAAGGATATTTTATTAATTTTTTTTTATTATTAAACAATATGCGCAATTACACTATAGAAATACAAGAATTGCAAAGACATAACACATAATGGATAAAGATATTTTTTATATTACATTTATATGTGCATAAATTGTATTTCTCAATTATTTAAAAATAAATTTTTATTACATAATGAGCCTACGCTTAATATATATACATAAGCACAATAAAAAACATATAGATACATTTTAATACTAAATTGCATTTCACCGCAAACATATATTACACGTTATATAACATTATATAATTCTCAATTATTATGCGTCCATTGTATATAAAATTTATATAAATCATAATAATTTATATCAATGAGCTAATATATTATTACGAATGAATATAACAAAATTAACATGCTATATAAGTAATCCATACAACTAAAAAAGAAAAAAAAAATTTTGCTTAATATTCAATAATATCATAAGATATATGTTATAAATTAAGAATTTACTGAAAATTAATCTTTCTTATAATATCAACTTATAATATATTATTGTATATTATATTTTTATTCTTTTCTAAATTGAGATAAAATGTTATATTCAACAGAATTATAATATGATGATTCATTGAAAATATATTATAATTTAAAAAATATGTTGCTCTATTAAATTTATATTTCCTCATAGAAACTATATTGAATATGTTCTGACTCTTATAAAGAAGTTACTATATTTTTTTGCTGTCCATCATTATAGTTACCCACATACCTTTATAGTATGGAACCATTGAATGAAGATGAATTTGTAAGATTTTCAAATTTTACATTAAAAAAATTTCGTAAAAAGAAATTATTACGTTTCATAACTATTTTTGTATAATAAAAGTTCATTTATTGAGTATCAATATATACATAATTTATTTTTTCTCATCAATTTATAGGAAACGGTTTTAGGAAATACGGAATCGTATAATATATACAAAAAATTTGATGAAGAAAACAACTTAGATGTGTACACCAACTATTGTGCTGAATTTAAAACGTCAAATGAATTAAATCATTATAATGATGGAAATTATTGTGTAAAAATTGCAAAAAATTTAGATAAATTATATAAATTAGATAATGCAGAAAGTTACCTTAGTAGTTGTTTACACTACAAATATTGGATTTACAGCAAAATGTTGAAATTGTTTAATTCAGGAAATAATAACGTAGGATATGCCATGAAATATTTTCTTAATTTGCAGAAGCATATTTCTAAAAAATTAGAAAAATACTTTTGTCTCTATGATTTTTACCGCTTTGATTTGGATGAATTGAATGAATTAAATGAAGAAAAATATTTATATGAATATTTTAAACATTACAGTTCTATTAATAATAAAATTACATCGATAGATAAGGAAAAGGATACTTATGTTAAATACCTTAAATATATTGATAAAATATATCAAAAACATAAAAATGATTACTGCTGTGACTATTATGGTTCAACTGGTAACTGTTATCATTATTTCAAATGTGATGAAAATTATAATCCTAATTATCTTTTATGTAAAGTAAATAATGACAAGGAACTATCAAATTGTATACCAAAGGATGCAATTCTATCAGAAAATGGTTCCCAAGGGAAGGATTCTGGAATCATAAATCCCCTTTATTTTAGTTGTAAGGAAATAAAAAGTGAAGAAGGTGTTCCATTTCTATCATGCTTTGTATTACGAACTACATCTAAGGACTCTAAAAGAGTAAGACATGATAAAACCCATCAATCTATAAAATTAACTAATGGCTATATGTCGCAAGCTATAAGGAGCATTCAGAATTTTGAGTGTGTTGAAAACGATGACAATCATAATATAAATTTCAGATCTTTTAAATGTACTCCAAAAAATGGTACTCAACAACACAACACAGGACTTGATTTAAAAGTAGATAAGTTACATCCATCTAGGAAGGAAGATCAATTTGAAAAAAAGAGACCATCATTTTCTGAATCCTCAAAAATAGATCTTAGATGGACGATAGATGAAAGTATCTTGGGATGTCCGGCTAACTCTTCCGAAAAACTTAGGCATAAGCTTTGTGAATACATATCAGAACTAAAAAGAAAAGGGGAAATTAAAAATCACACAAAAACTCAAATTAAAAAACCTATTGATAGCATTCCCAAACAGGGGAACACATCAAAAAAATATACAGTATCAATCGATTTAGAAAAACTCTCGTGTGACCCTAAGGACTCAGATTTCTGCAAAAATTTAAAGAAATCACTTTTATCTAAAATAAAAGAAGAGAAAAAAAAAGGGGATAACCAGGATTCAGGAAATTGGATATTATTTGATGGAAATACTGGAACAGCAAGTGTTTCAGAAAGTACCCCTATAATAACACCTAATGTTTTAGAACAAAATTATTCTATATTTAGTAACTTCATTTTTCGTGTAGGTATTGTTGTTACTATGGTAATTGGAACCATATTCATATTTTTTTTATATTATAAGGTAGGCATTAATACTTTTAAAAAACATAAATATATTATACATGTAGTTCTGTTTCAATTATTTATATTTTTTTAATAATTTAGTAATATTAAATGTTTAAAAAATTTTTTTTTTATCTCAGTTTACTGGCTTTGGAAGATGGTTTGACAAGATAGTATTAAAAAAAAAAAATGCTAAGGCTAATTTTTATTATAATGCAAATGAGGGGATTCCAGCGTATACACCTGAATATATGTATTATAATTCTAAAAATAAGAGGTCACGAATATCATATACTCCTGCATAAGGTCTTTTTGGCTATCATTCTGAAGGACATAGATAAATTTACTGACATTCTCTAAAATAGAGAGAAAAGTGCTTTTATAAAAGAAGATATCATATGAACTCAAATAAAGATAAAATGCATACTATCAGAAGCTATTATTTGTATTTTTATATTAAAAATTTTACTAATTTTTACATAATAATATCACTTCTATTTATTCGTTTTAGTTTAAATTTACTTTAATGTCTTTTGATATATATATGTTTTTGCTCTTTTTTAATTATATGCATATTAGTATATTGAATGTATATTATATTATTTGTTATAAATTATTAATATATTTGTATTTACGAAATTATTGATAATTTGCCATAAACTAGAAAAAAAATTGTATGTTCATCAAAATTTAATTTTTTTCTTTAACTCATATTTAGTCAATACCACAATAATTTTCATCACTTACTAATATCCCTAGTTAAGGAATTAATAAAATGAAGTGTTAAAATTCATGTTTTAACATGTATTAATAAACCTTGCATATACTAAAATGTCAAATATTTATAAGTGTTGGGGAACATAGCATGCTTTGTATAAAAAAATGTTATAAGAATTGTAGAAATGAGTATAATTTAAAATAAAATATTAATGTGTATTTATATTTGTACACGCTGTTTTCATTAATATTATATATATAATAGGGTGACACATAATGAAATAAGTTATATGAGTAGAGTCAATTATTATATCAGTTTATAAATCACGTATTGGTTAATATATTAGCCTATGAAATATATTGCTTTTTGTTTTAAAATATATATATTTATTATTTTAAAACTACTTATACAACGTGTATTATAATAATATAAGAGGAACCATGAATATATACATGAATTTTTTATTAATTAATTAAAATCTCATAAAATAATATTTTGGACAATTTTAATTATTTATTTTGTGATATAATCGTAATACATTGACAAATTAATATTTGTTTTTGTTTTATTTTATTATAAAAATTGTTTCATTCTTATATGTAGTTATCAGGGAAAATATTATATATACAGTTTTGAAAGGATATGTAATATATTATTTAATCGGGTTATATCCTTAAAGTTATACTTTTTTATGGATTAATTTGTTCGGATATAAGATATTATACTTACTAATTGTTTCACTATCACATAATATTTCAAAAGGATGAAATAGATTCCTTTCTTCACCTATATTATTATATTGATTTCTTTTCTTTATTATTTTTTGGTGCAACAATGAATCATAAGGTGTAAACTAAATCACAATAAAAGCATCTTATGTATTAAAAATATAATTTTTTAATAAAATGATTGGTATTTAAATTATTTAGAATAATTATTTTATACTATAAGCATATATAAATAATATTATAATTTACCTTATATATTATAAAAAAAAAGATGGTTGTTAATAACATTACAATTATTGTAATTATAATATAAACTAAGTTATTCATTTTGCAAGGGGATGATTTATGTGGTCTAAGTTCTTCAGTAAATTAATTAATTGTTACTGGATTTTGTTCTTTTATAATACCTTGGAGTGTGTCAAAGAATTCTTCATCTATATACGATCCATCATTGGATTGTACTTTATTTAGATATGTATATATATCATATATAGCTGTAAGTTTATTTAATTCTTCTTTAGTAATACAAGTTGTATCATAATTCAAGCATACATCTTCTATGAATGTACCTTTTATATAGGTTTAGAAACACACTATATATTTTGTTATATTTTTATCAAATTCCTTTTTGTATTTATAGAATAGAGTTTTAAGGTTACAGTTCTTATCTTCTTCATCCTGTTCTAAAACAGTTTCATAATATTTTTCATAAGAAGGAACATAACTATCAGTTCAAGTATAATGATTTTCATTATTATATTCTTTTAATTTATAAAAATTTTTGTATAACTCATCTAGGTTATATAATATATAATATTTATCATTTGTAAGTTCTTCAACTTGATCTCTACATACATTATGATCCATTCTACGATATTTAATTTGTTTGAATATATCTATCTTTTTATTGTAGCATTCATTTAATACTCTACACTTTGGACTCTGACCCATTATTTCACGCTTCCTAATGTAACTGAAATATTTACAACTTCTCCTTAGATTATCATCAGATTTATACTTAATATGATTCAAATAGCGACCAATATTTGTACAAGGAAAAATAAAATTCGACGGTCTAGAGGTTAGATTTGCTACATCTTTACCAAAATGTTCGCATGCAAATGCCAATTCACTGAGTCCGTGTACTTTAAGATGATAAATCTTCACGGAACGTGAATAATCATCCTAATTCTGGGAAATAATATATCATAGTCAACCTATGTATGAGAATTACAATATGTGAAATAAATTATAAAATATATTTTTAAGAAATTTTTTTTTCTTTGTCTCGTTATAAAAAATAAGGGTATTTTATAACTATCTAATATAAATAATAAATGCGTTAATAAATTTGAACGTACATCGTCTATAACAGAACTAGGGATCATTGTTATATTTTATTTACTTAAAATAATACATATAATTTATATTTTGTTTTATTAAGAACATTTATTTATCAAATGCATCAAATATGTATCATATTTATATAATACTTATTAATTTGTGTAATTTATAAACATTTCATTAATTTTTAGTTTTCATGTTTTTATTTATTTATATTTACTAAACTAAAGTATTATCATTTATTCTAAAAAATCATATCATTTTTTCATGTAATTACAAAATAATTAAAAAATATTTATGATGTTGAAATTTTATAATGCTGTTAAATAACATATTTGTGATAATGCTATGTATATAATTTAATATAACAAATAACCTATAAGACATAAGAAAATATGTGGCATATATATTCATATAATCATTAATGCTATTATAAAATGTGTTCTTTTATTTCTTTTAAAAATTGAATATAATTATGTATAGACATAGAATATCTATGTTCATATTTTATTGTTCATGATTTTAGGAAACAGTATCCAATGGGTTCAAAGGTAATGGTTCATAGTTCCTCCAATTGCATATACAAAATAATTTATGAAAAAAAAAATGCTTTATTGTAATATTCAATTTTTTTCATGAAATAATTAATTCTTCTTAGATTAATATTTGTTTACACACATATAAAATCGATGTCCGTGAGAAATGATTTGAAAACAAAGAAAAAACGACGTTATATTCCCATAAAATACATAAAGGGATGATTTATAAGAATTTCTATATTCCTGCAAAGTTATAAATGGTAAAGCGCAATGATACAAATTTCCCCTTATGCGCGAATTAAAAGATGGCAGCTAATTTGACCTAATTACGCGAGTAGAATCTTGGGGGTTGCTTGCTTCAAATATTTCACACTTTTTTTTTTCAAATAATCATAATAGTCCTAAATATATTATATTTAAAAAAATAATAAATTCTTATATATCTTCTATTAATGTGTCGTAGAAATTGAGTGTACACAATTTCTCTGTTTATTAAATATTACACCATAATAATGATCTTTTTTAAATATCTTAACGTTAGTTGCATTGTAACTTATAATGCAACTAAATGCTTATTTACAATTAAATTAGCATTATCATTCATATATATTGAATATGGAATATTGTTTTCTTCATTTTGCGGATGTGTAAATAAATAATTTGAAGTGTTGTTTTATTTAAGTTACCTAAATAATATTCATAATGTAAGGAAAATGTATCTTGAGTTCGTAAGCATAAAAAATTCTCACATCTTTTAAGGGAATTATGCCATTTAAAAATTTCTTTACATATATAAGCATTTATTCTTTTATATTAATCTTACTACTACTTTGCTTGGTCCCTTATTTATCTCCATTTATTATGTATATATTGTTACAATAACTAATCCAACAATGAAAAGACAACTATGAGTTCACTTTAATTATTGATAAGAGCATCTTTAATACATATTTACAGATATTCCCCCAATATATCTGGAATATAACTCATTAAGATGAATTATCACCATAAAACTTTATCAAAAAAAATTTTATTTTTTTCCAAATTATTAGGAAAAATCACATTAAAACAATTAATATTTTTAAAAAAATATAGTACAAATTATAAAACTCTTTTTTATATTGTGCGCTATCTGACATGAATGTTAAACTTTTAAATGAATTGCATAATGTGTGAAAAGTCTTTCTCTCTTATCCTGTAGGATACTAAATAAACGAATTCCTAATTAAAACTCTTTATTTAAAGCACGTATACATATCATTAATAATGTTCAGTTATATACTTTAAATTAAAGCAAATCCGGAAGCATATAAAATTTATATAAACTAAAAACATCATAAAATCTTAAAATGAATAGATTCATATATGCAACACTTATAACTCAGCAGAATATGATTAAATAGACATCTATAAAAATGAAGCATTCACTTTTTGAATTAGGGGTCCAAAAACGATAGCTTAAATGCAAAAAATATATATTTACTATCATAAGTATGTTATAAAAATATGTGAAAACCAGAATAGTGAATTATTAATAATACACCATACTCATCTGGAAAAGTGTTAAGATAGCATTTTTAAGAAATTATTATCATTCTTTTACGCAGTTAGCCTATTGCAAAAAAAATGTTAACTTTCATTTGAGACATTTATGTATAAGAATCTCGCTATAAAAAAATATAGAAAATAAGGAAAAAAAAAAAATAGAATTCTTAACATACAACCCGTGGAAAATAGCAAAGCCACTGGATTAAAGTAACAACTAATATACATAAAATTAATAACAAAAAATACAACTTAGACTCTGTTCAAACTGTAAAATATATTTTTTTCGATAAGTAGTTCTAAATGCTCCTTTTCAACATTATCATTAATTACTAAAGATTAATACGAAAAATGTGAAAATAACACTAAATTAAAAGTATAATAGATAGAAGCGTTAAAATGGTAATATAAAAAAAATTATAATATGATGTTTTCATAAAACACAGAATTAAAAATGTAATTATTTTTACACATATAAAATTATATATACCGTAAAATCTATTCTATGAAAATATAAAAAATTCATATGTATAATAAAGAAGTTAATAAGTTATTATGTTTCAAACGGTAGAATTTATTACTACTTGCATTACGAAAATTTAGTAATAATTTTAACCTTTTTAATTTAATATAAATGTTACAATCAAATCGTTAAAATAATATAACCAAGTTTGAACTGTTCTACTATATTATTATTCTATGCTTAATATATTTTACATGATAGATGTGTGTGCAATTTATTTTATATTTTTTTGATGTCATTATCGTAAATAATTTCCACATATACATGTTATTAATTTTCTGTAAATTGCATGACCATTTTAAAGATTTGTTTGATGAATTATTAATTAAATTAAATTTTTGTTGTACTCCATTTACATTATAACATTTCAATTATAAATTAAAATTAATGATTCACAAAAGGAAGAAAATGCAGACACGTAACATCTAATTGTAACTATAAAGGGAAAAATATTTCTAGAAAATTGAGTAAATTTTACAAAAGAAAGTATTAAATAATTGTTTTTCATCCTATATTTATTGAAATTTATTTTATGTATGAAACACACATTTTTATTAAGAATAATTTTAACAATAATAAAATGAAATTCTTAAAAAAGAAAAATTATTTGTTTCTTGTTTTTATATGTAATGCTATAAAATTTAAAATGTGTCAACAATAATGAAGTAGAATTATGTGTTCTCAAAATTTAATTTGACGCAAAAATACAACTGTACTTATTTTTATTAAAAACATTGTTTGTACAAAATATATTTCATTATAACCGAGAAATGTAATTTTAAAAGAAAATATGGATAATATCTAATTTATGTATTGTCTTACTATTAGAATAGAATGAACATATACAAAAATGTAAATAACTATTTTCAGAACAAGTTTTACTTCATATGTTAGTATAACTTAGATGAAACATTTAAATATTTTATTTTTTTTGTACTCATTATAAATGAACATTATAAACTAATATATATTTCATCATCATTTAACTTCTAGCCCCAAAATTTACGCCTACAACCATTTATATTTATTTAATTTATAAGAATGTCACAATGTTTTTAAACGCATCCTTGATAATGCATTTATTTTATAGTTACCCTTATATATAATTATATGTGCAATTATTATTAGTCCAAATTTCCAAGAATTCATTTTTAAATCAGATTAACAATGTGCTAGAATATATTGTTTTATAACCTTATGAATAAAATTATTTGTACTTATATAAATATTTTATTTTAATTTTATTTGTACTAAAATATTAAATTACCTTTTTTAAATGTGTCTATTCATATGCATATAATATTTATCAAAAATTATTTATTTAAACAAAGAAAAATGTAAGATACCTATAATAAAAATTAATGGACAGATAATGGCGGAAGTAGATGTAAGAATCGTTAATGACAACAAAGCGGATATGTCTGAAAAATGCATTGAAGAATTTTTAAATTATTCAGGTGAATATGCACAAATGGTTAATGAAATTGATAGAAATACTTACAAAAATCCTTCCGAAAAATGTTATGAAGTATTAAAATATATAAAGAATATAAAAGAAAATTTAGAGAACTGTTTTGAAAAAGGTCGTATACTAGATTATTCTTATATAGAGGAAATAATAAAGAAATTTCCTAAAAGATGTGTTGGTATATATAAATGTCGTAGGAATGTAGAAACACATGGTCAAACTTTTGTTCAAATAATTTCAGAAATAGAGAAATTCCATAAAGGAAGTGAGGGATGTAAAGAAGAATTAACGACGACAGAAGAAGTTAAACCACATTCAACCTTAATCCCAGAAACCCATGAATCCACAAATTTGAAAAGTATATATTCCCATAAAGTTCAAAAACATGTTAATGAAGAAGTATCAGATCAACAAACCATAGTATCTCAGGAGAAACAAGGTGAACGTAACACTGCTAATCATCTTGATGACCAACATGAAGAATATGGATTAAAATTCAATCATCATTTTAATCCACCTGTACAAGTACAGAGTTTGAAAGAATCTTTATTAATCCCAGGTGAACCATCAGCTTCTGAATTAGATATCAATATACAATGTCACCTTTCACAAAGATTCCCTTCTCATAACTCTGAAACATGTAATAAATCGCACACTGTTGATTTTGATAAACATACTCAAAATAATGTATCCAATTCTAAAGTCGATTCTGAGAAAAATAATATAATACAGGATGATACTATTCAAGCCATTTTTACAGAAAATCATGATGGTTTATATCATGATGAAAAAACTTCTGAACATGGAAAACATACTGATGCGGGTCTTGTGCATGCATCTAGTGAAAGTGAGGGCAGTGATAGTGAAGGTTTTGTTAGGATAAATTTTGGACATGAAATTTCTAGTAATGAGCTTAGTGGTTATGCGTCTTCTGGCAAGGGAGCTTCTTTTGATAGTATTTCTGGTAGTAAGGATTCTCATGATGGTAATAATAATGTTCCAGATACTGATTTCAAAGGTTTTCCTGAACAAAGAAATGATGGAAATGATACTATTGCTAAAGGTAATGAAGGTAGTGGTGCTCATGAAAAGGTTTATATTAATGGAGTTGCTAATAGTAAATGTCATGAGACACTTAAATTTTTACAACATAATTTACCAACTTTGGTGTATTATATTATACATATGATGTAATATCTAATGAAAATTTAGGTACATATAATAATGGTGATTCTGGAAAAAATGAAGAACAAAATGATTTATATGGGATTAATGCTACAAAGGATATAATCACAGCTGGAAAGGATATTGTAACAGATGGAGCTGCTCAAGTAGACCAAGGAATATCCTTTAAAACATATATCATAATAGCCTTAATACCATTGATAATTATTTTGTTATTGATATTTCTTATAAAAGTAAAGTAAATTTTGTTCTATTATCAGGATAATTCTTATTTTTCATTTTAATTGTTTGTAATAATTGAACTATATTTTTGTGGACTTTTTTCCGTCTACAGAACACTTCTTTGGGAATGCTGTTTAAAAAGAAAAAAAGAAGGAAACGTAAAGATATGAATGAAAAACTGCAAAGGATACTATTAGGACCTCATGAAAGAGAAAGAAAGGTCCAATTGGCATATAGCTATTTGGAATATTAAATATAATGTCAAATAAGTATTTTAAAAAATTGATAAGCCAAATTTGCATTAAACATTGAGCATATAAAAACTATTTATTTTATTTTGATAATCTATTTTTATTTATTTTTTTTGTTTAAATTATTATAGAAATATTAAAATAATCTTTTTAAAATTTATAATTATAAAAAAAATTATGTGTACTCTGGTTTACTATATACTAAACTCAATACTAAATTACATAAATGCATTTTTTATTAGTTTTCTCTGTGATTTTATGTATTCAATGAAATATTTTTATAAATTATATACTTATCGTCTTTTTATTTAGTAAAAATATACATATTACAATTAATATGAAAATAATATTAACTATTATTGTATTCATGAATTTTCTTTTAGTGTAAAGTTAATATATAATAAACTTTTTTTTGTTCTATATTTCAATACTATTATTTGCTTTTTTGAGATAAAACTAAACAAAAATATGTTATTTGTCTGTAAATATTTTCCTTTTTTTTTTTTACCGAGCTATTTTCAATTATTACTGTACTCGTGAAAAATTGTATTACTATATTACACATTATGGAACGAATTTGAATGAAAAATTCTGTTATGGCATAATATATGTGTATAAGCTTAGTGTCAAAAAAATAAATCATTGAAAAATATTTTGTAATTTCTTTTAAATTACTTATAAACGAATATGACAAATATATAATTTAGAAAAAAATATTCCGAATGCAAGAACTAGAAATTATATATTTTTATTTTTTAATTAAATTTGGAAATTGTGAAAACAAAAAGACAATATATTAAGAAAAATTGAAATACACTTAAATATAGTTCTACATGAACAATATAATAATGAGTAAAATATTTTATAAACACATAATATTTTTATTTATATGACTATATTATATTAACTATTTAAGACATATTACAGTCGATAATAACAAAGATATCTATATATATATATATATAAATAAAAAAAATATATATTATAGGTTTAAATATTTGATTTTTTCAAGGAAAATTAATTTTTATGAAATAATAAAAATAATATTAAAAATATTTGTAAAGATAATTAAGAAAAATAAACAATAATTCTTCATTTATAAAATATTGGCACCTACATCACATTAACATTAAAAGCATTATCAGATGATTTTAATTTAAGGAATCATGAAATTTATCAAAATTGGTTTTCACTTTGTTTTATAAACTTTTTACAGTTATCGAATATAATATGTATAATAATTTTTTACATGTATCATTATTCAAGTCCCCTTAACAGAATATGCATTTTAGCATAATATAATAATTCCACAAAATTTTGATTAATGATGCAGATAAATATGCATGTATTCACATTTTTATATTCAGCATAATAAATTAAATAAAATTTAATCATTACAATACAATATTTTTATTGAATAATAGAAGAAATAAATAACTTTTTGTTATCAGCACAATATATATTTATTCTTGTATTGTAAGAAAAATAAAAGCACTCAAATATTTATCATTTGTTTATCAATTAATGAAAACATACAGTATAATAAAAAACAAAGTGTACAAACAAGTGTTATCAAATTATTGTACAGCTCTAGAATGCTCATAATAATATTTTCAACTTTATTATTATGCTAAAGATTAAATGATCAATGTATTATAATTCAAAATTAAGCAAATATATAACATGGTATTGGAAAATCCGTGAATGCGATTAAAATATTAATTGCTCGAAATTCAATCATTTTAATTTTATCATATTCAAATACAATTATACTATAACATTTGTAGTTCTAATGACTATATATATAGAACGAAATTAAAGTAATGACTTGCATATAAGGTTTATATAAATAATATTTTATACTTGTAAATTGATTTAAGTGTTAGAGGTATTCTTCCTAAAAAGCCAATGTAATTATAACACTACATAATATATATATATTCTATTTTTCAAAAATATATTTACTCAATTTATCTATTTTTCCTACAAGTTTATATATATGAAAAGCAGGCAGAATTGCGAAAAGAATATATTGCTCCTGTAATTGTAATTATTAATAATAAGCAGAAATTACGTATATGTTATGAAAAATGATGAGAATTGTTTCATTTCCTTAAAAAATATTACGAAATAGTGATAAAAATGTATTCATAAATCGGTAAATCAAATACTATTTATTATTTTATTTTATAATAAAAATATGAAGCATAAAAATATACATATACATCTAAGATGCTTATTTTTTTTATATAATATTTTTTTGGTATATGTTGAGCATTACACTTTTTTTAAAACAATTTGTTCACTAAAAATTCTGCTGAATTAATATCATTGTATATATAAAAAATTAATGTATTATAAAACGTATATATATAATTAGTTCTTTAATAAAACCTTCTATTGTAAGTTGGCATTCAACATAACATATATTTACCAATTTAAATATTATTTATTTCTTCATTTTCACTATGTATTATAATGAATTAAGTTCTTTGTTTCTTATTACCCATTAATTAGTATATTAAATTATGTAGTAATTAATAGCAAAAGAAAATAAATAATCATGAATTTGTTTTTATCACAGAATCGACATAATTTAAAAATAATATGATATTTGTTGAAAATATGAAATGTATAATATGTGCACAACATATTAAATGTTAATATAAAACACTATATTAATATTCATGCTACGAAAGAAATAAAATTTCTTTATTATTTTTGTTTTTTCATTATTATCAAAATATAAATCAAAAATTGCCTATTATATTATTTAGAATTATTCATTATTTACGTATGTGTTTAATGCAATTTCGTTTTTACAAATTCATTAAGAAGGAAATTTGAAAAACAATGTTATAGGATAAATATGTTTTTTCAATTAAATTAGAAAATATTATTAATATATAATTGTTTTTTGTATTGTGTAACAATATATATATATAATTAACAATATATCCATGGCATTTTTTCATAAAAATGTTAATATATACTATAAAGATAGTGTAAAAAGATAAATGATATAACAATTTAAATAGGATACCTTAAATATTACACGAAAAAAATCATATTTGTATACATTTTGTAAATATAACAGTACGATTAAAAATATAAATCAATATCTCTAATTTTTTCCTTATATAAACTTATTAGTTTATATATAGAGTAAATATAATATAAATGTTTTATTGAAGTTATGTTTTATGTAAAAAAAATGTAATATGTTAATTTGAATTATGAGAAAAGTGCATGTGGTTTGTATTAAATATAATGAGTGAAATAAATAGTTATAATGCTTATTTTAATAAAATATACGAATATATATTATTTAACATATATTATACAACATAATTTCGAATAATCTTGTAATATAAATAATAAAAACACTTATATAAAATGTTTTAATAAAAATTTCTCATATTTATAATATTTTTGTATAATATATACAAGAAATGCATAATTATAGATTATATACTTTTAAAAGTAGAAAACATCTGGTATTACTTCATTTTTAAATATCTTATTAGATAAAAGAATAATAATCATGTATATATATCCAAAGTATAAAAAAAATTAAAAATTTTCAATCTTAACAGAAATTAATAAAATAATTATATACATAATATAAATAATAGTGGATAATTCCTACACATACATCTTATGCAGTGAATCACATATATAAATTATGAACCTTGTGCCCTGAAAATTTTATGATGGTTATAATAATAATATCATTCTGTTTATAGATGTAATTATATATATTAATATATTATTATATATATAATTCGTTTTTAAAACATTACATTATATGTTAAATGTTATATATTTCTCCATATAACATTTATTTTATCCTTTTTTTTTAAGGAAGTATGCTTAGATAAGAATGATGTATACAAACAGAAATTATTTAGTAAATGGGATCATGCAGATGAAAGTTTGTATTATAGTTTATATTGTTCACCATCAGATAATCTGAATTCTGCAGATCCAAAATTATTTAAAATTAAGTGTTTGGTTCAGGTAAATTTCTACGATTATACAACACTATTTAAAAGTGATAATGATGTTATTTGTTCTTTTTTCAATGAGTGGATAAATAAAAAAAAAAAGAATATATAATGAATGATACCCTATGTAAAAAAATCACATTATGGAATAATCATATAGAAACTTTATGGGAAAATTTACTAACAGTTTATTCTATATCGAATGCCTTATGTAAAAGGGAGCATACTATGCCTGAATGCAATAATTGGTCCAAAGGAAAAAATGTTTCTTGGCTTTCATCGCCAATAAAGATTGTTTTTGTTGTTTGTTTTACGCTTTTAATCACATTACTTATTATATTTTCTCTTTTATATATAATGTAATATAAGAATTATTTTAAAAAATTATGAACATTTTTTAGGATGTATTTAAACTAATATAACATAAAATTTGTTGAAATCTTTGTATATAATATATTTTGCACTAATTTGTTTCTTATGTATAGCTCTCTAAAATAAAACGTTTTCTATAATATAAATGTTACATAAAGAGTATAATACGGAAATATACAGATAATATATATTCGTTTGAAGATATACAAGATTTTGAATTGGATTCGGCAGATAAAGTATTTAATATACTTTACATATCTAGGGATAATCTTTAATTGATATGTTACAAAAATCAATACATTTAGTTTTATACTTTTATAATCATCATATATACTTCAGAAATAATTATATTATGAAGAGCAGTTTTTTTTTAAATACAGTATTAATACAAAATAAAATATAAAGAAATTCACAAGATTAAATTTCGCATGAAACTATAGTAAATATTATTACAATACGAAAATAGTTTAAATTATATGAATAAACACTCATAATATTATTTCAAAAATAAAATAATTATAAAATTATTTTTCCTTCATATTTTTACTATTATATATAATATATATAGGAGATTGCGTTATATTATATTTATAAATATTATATAAAATTATGATTTTTTATTTTTTTCATCTATTGATCTGTTTCAAAAAGAGTATAAGTTTTGATTGTTCGATGCTGTGACGTTTTCATTTTAGATGTGATCTAACTTATATTTACTAATACCTACATGTAATTTTTTTTTGGAGAATTTATAATGAATGTATTTGATTTATTTCACGGAAAAAGTTCCATATTATTTACATGAATATTATGTTTAACTTATTTATATAATTAATTTTTTTTCAAAAACAACTCAAATAAATTGACACAATGCATAGCTATGCATCCTTATATGTATTAATACACTCTATCATTTATTAATTACAATGTTTTTCACATGTCGTAATAACATTATTAAGACTCAGTTTAATATATTATTGATCAGTATATACTCAAACAATAACTTTTTTTTAAATATCTCTTTACTATTAATGTTGATTCATAGATAAATTATTGATATCCTTAGTATATTAAATCTTTAATATTTTTTTTTTCCTAAATTTTACAATTCACCTTTTGTGCTTTAGAAATTAACACTGATTACTCATATAATAATAAAAATCTGTGAAGTATTGTACAGTAATAAAGTTCGTAAAATAACTCAAGACACTTTACTATTTAACAGGGAACTTATTCATTTTTCCTATTTATATATTACATATGTTAATTATGTACATTTTTACTTTATTATTATTTGGAAATTAAAATGTGAGATTTTATTAATTATATTAAGATAAAATGTTCCTTTTATTAATAATATTATTGAAATATAAAACTGTGATGCATTGAAAATGTAAAACATATATATTAAATGTTGTTTATTATATTACTATTTCACTACATGGAGAAAAAATTATAACATTTACTATGCATTCTATAATAAACGGATTTACAAATAAGATATCTTTATGTATTATTAAGTTTATAGATATAGTTGCATAATTGAAATAGGGGCTATAAAAAAATGCATACACAACATTAAAATTATGCTTATTTTATTAATAATAAAAATCTATTTCTTTTTTCCACTCATATAAAATTTTTGCTGATTCATATTAACATAAGTTCATATACTTGTTGTATTCATAAAATTGACAAAATTTCGCAGCTATTAACGTATGAAATGATTATTTAGTGTATCATTATATTAATTAATGTGTTTTTATTGTTGTATATGTATATGTTAATACCATTATCTTTTAATATATGATTATATTAAAAAAATAATATATTTCCAAGCTCCGTTGCATCCAATAAATATTCGTACCTTTTATTAAGAGTTCACACTTCTTTGTACATCATTATCGTCAACCTATATTTATTTACAATCATAAAGTATAATTGTTATATATATTTTAAATAATTTAAAAAAACACACTTATTGTTATGATATATATTTTTATTTTTTAGACAAAAAAGTATTTATTTGATTTTTATATAATTGCTTGTCTTTTAAATTGTTAGTGCATCTATTTATTCTAGGAGAAACAATACATATAATTTTTTGGTACTTTTGTAAAATATTGTTATTAAGAAATTTATTTTATAATAATAGTTATGTGCTAATGATTAATTAGTTTTTTGTATAATAATTAAAATGCTAAATAAAAGAAATATACTAGATATAATAAAATGATTAATATCAATGAGAAATATTATATATACTCATTGAAACATTGTACAAATACTGTTTATTATGACTTTTATTATAGAATTCTTTATCTCTTATTTTTAAATATTATTCCTTATAATTTATTTTATGAATAAATGAACACAACTAATTTCCGAAAATTCCTAGAAAGGATAAAACAGAAATATAATTATTAAAAATGAAACAATTTATGTTCATGTAATAATTAAGCATACACAAATATAAAACATATTTAAAATATTATATAGACATTATATAATTTTACAAGGAATTTTACTATATAAAATATTAAACATGGTTCTTATAAAAAGTATCAAGCATAGATAATATAATAATATTTAATAATTCCAAATCATTCATCACAAATTTTACTATAAAAAATAAATATTCTTTAAATATAATTATTATTTTATTCAGATATCACATTTAATAAGTAAGTAGGTTTATATCCTTTTATATTAATATAAAAAACCTTTATAATTATCAAGTAGTGATGACAAAAGAGAAATATATTTACACATATATAAAATTTTTTTCTATAATTTTTTGTAATTAATACAAATAAAAACAAAATTTTATTTATTTTGAAACAAAATTGTATAATTTTTATATATATGTAGAATAAATAAAAAAAATGTTTACTATTTATAAAATATTATTAATTTTATATAACAATGAACAAAATATTAGAAAAAAAATTTATATCTGCTCTTATATTGTAACACTATAAAAAATGAAAATTTTAATAGACATGCATCATGATATATGAAAATTGTAATTGTTCTAGTTTTATATGTTACATTTTTTCTGATGAATTATAACATAAATATTTTTCCAAAAAAAAATTCATAAAAATCAGATTTACACGAAAAAGAACTAAGCATAGTTTTGGTACAAAAAATTATAGTGCAAATATAGATATAGTTATGAAACCATATCGTATATGCATAAATACTATAATACCATAATTTCAGAATGTCGTTCATATATTAACGCAGTATATATTATCGGAAGAATTAGGAGAGCATATACTTTTAATTACAAATGAATATAATTTCTTGAGTATGTTACTTCATAAAAATGGAATCTAAATCTACACCTTAATCAAATTCATTTTAAGAATGTATAAAATACTTATTAATAATTATCATGTGTCAAAAATGAAATAAAATGCTTGGATATATTTAAATTTATGTAAATTAATTATTCACATAATATATTAGTGGGTTTTCTAATTCCCTTATATTAATAGTTTTATGATACGCATTAAAAAATATTTTTAATATTTATTATTTATTCAATATAATAGCTTAATTTTATGATTTTTATTATAAACTCTATTTATAATTTCTATATTCAGATTAACTATTTTTTATATATGTACTTTGCCATGAATTATTACTACTGATTATTACATTATCCTAAATGAATGAATCAAAGGATAATATATATAACAACAAGACATTGATCGTATATATTTTCCTATTTTATTCACATTACACACAAATTAAAATTGCACTTTTATAAATCTGCAAATAACTCTATATATTCAGTTTCTTCATTTTATCGCTTAGAATAATTCATATTTTTGTGTATTAATATGTTTTACGTATTTAAATGTTGCATTAATATATATATTTTTATTATTTTTTAATATTATTTTTAATCCTAAACATATAAATTTATATTTTGTTGTGATTGTTATGTGACTCTCTAATTATTAGTAATTTATTTATGCTTTCATAAAATTAAATTTTTCTTTTTTATACTAAAATTAGGACTATCTTTCTCAATCATATGATATATTATAAATTTTGTCTTCTAAATTGCTGTTATGATTTTCACTTTTACACATCTCATATTGGTACGTTTCGTTGTTAATATTCCATGATTTTCTTTTTTCCCCTTCAATAAGAAGGCGCAAATAATTACCCAATGCGGTAAACTAATATTATGAAGATATGTTTATGTGCTTTTAAAAAATATTATTTTACAAAGTGATTTATTCTAAAAATATATTATAAAAATATGGATATAGCACTGAAAATTTTGGAGAATTTATTTTAACCTTATAGAGATATAAAAACCCTGTTATTAAAATAACAGTAGTAAGTGCTACTGATATGATAACTCTTATTCTGGCAAGATGCTTAGAAAATTTTCCATCAGAATTTGCATGGACACCTCTTGAATATTCATGTAAGTACTTTGCTTCATGATATATATTGCAACTTGTTTTAAAATAATTATAATTATTATTATTCCACAACGTCGATAACACCTTTTCACATCTATGTTTAGACATCCATTCATTATTTTCAATTAAATACCTAAGAACATATAATTTTTTAAACAGAAAGCAGCTACCCGTTTCTTTATAATCGTTTATAATATTATTATATTTTTTAATCAATTCATTAAGAGATTGACAATCAAATGCCATAGAAGAATCCAGTATAATTGTAGAAAGGTATATTTCAAAATAACTATAATACAACTTATATAATTCGTCTACTTTTTTAAATAACACATCATTCATATATTTTATATCATATATACACATATTATTACTATTATCATTATTATTATAATGGACAAAATCTTTGAAATGTGAAAATATAGACACATTTTTACTATAATTTGAGTATGCTTGTGACCTAATTCGTTCATTTATCCAGTAGTTTATATAAGCGCAACACTGTCTATTTCTACATGAATCATTTGTATTAAAATTCTCAAAATATTGTTTTACTCTATTAAAGTCTCCCATAAATAATTTGTGTATATCACCATGAATTTTTCTAATACTAAGAAAGTTTTGAATGTCTTGAGTAACACCTAATGATTCGATAGTTTGATCGAATTTCCCCTTAAAAAAATTATAATCATCGTAGGTACAATACTAATGGAGGACATACATATCATAAGAAATATATATATTTAAATAATAATTGAATAAATAAATTTTATTTGAATATAATTAGTAGGAAACATATAAACTATAGAGAATTGTCTATATTCTCAAAAAAAATAAATATAATTACAGTTTCATCCGTTTCCTTAATTAACATTATAATATAACAAATGAATAATATATTAAATTTTATTATTATACTTGGAAGAATATTTATTTAGTACAATATATTATAAAAATATACTGTATATTTGCACATATCTAGTTTAATTCTAATATTCAATAATTTATTAGTTTTTATGAATTATATTTGTACTGATCCATTTGTAGGTATTTTAATTTTTTTGATAACAAATAGAATTTAAATAGTAATACTAAAATGGAAGAATGGTTGATATATAAGCTTTGAACTAATATATAATGATTGTAGAACCACAAAACTATTATATATAAGAATAAATTACAAGTGGCTAACAATTTGAATTGTGTTATCAATAATTCTTTAAGCCCTTCGATATACATACAGTAATATGAATTATAATAAATAATTATATATCATTACAGGCTTCTATTGGTTCAAATGTTATACCATGGCTTATTATTATTTAATTATATAATGTGTTCTATATTAATTTTTTTAATAATAATTTTGTAAATTGAATATATACACTTGAGTTCCTAAATTAAATTAATTTCTCACTTTGAGGATGCAGCAAGTATGAGTAATCACGTTTTTTTTTGAATGCGTTTATTTTAAAAAGTAAACATTTATATAAATAATTATTATCATATAAAAATATTTATTCATTAATATATATGTTTTTGTATTTATAAAAAACGATATTTATTTTATAAAATGAGTTGTAATACTTTATTACTAATTAACGTACTTTATAAGACAAACAATTTATAAAAGCATAAACACGTATATTTATATTATGTATTCTGTTCAACATATCATTTTATTTTGGTAAATATCCCAGTTCAAAATAAAAGAAAAACATACTACATAATTATAGATAATAAAAATAGAAAAATATTCTTGTATCTTTGATATAAAAATAGAATACGCAAAAAAAAAAAATAAAAATTAATTTTTCTTAATTTATTAGAAAGATTTAATGCACTTTTTTGTTAAATAATAAATACTAGAGAATATTATAATGAAATAATGTATTTTATATAATTCATATTAATATATATTATGATTTACGTAACAAAGATATAATTCTAGATACATGATAAATATATATGAAATTTAAAATACATTAATTTTGTTATGGTACGTATGTACATATGAATATTACTATATTTAAAACAGTTTTTCAATATTTGTTATGATTTTTTTATATCATAAAATATTATTTATCATTTTATACTGTGAAATGTTTATGTACATTATGATACTATTATTTTGAAAAAAAATTATTATCTATTATATTTACAAAGTTAATATATTTTATATCTCTAATTCTAATTATTTACTGTATTAAAATCTATAAAAAACATTGTAAAAATAATTATAACATATTATGTGAATATATAAAACTATAAGTATATAAAGTAATTTATTCCTAATACTTTATAAAAAATGTAGGTTTATTTCATATTCTTTTCTTCATATTATACTTTTTTATGTATTCATTTTAAAAGCTCTTACTTTTCTCTTTTCTTATTTGATCTCAAAATTTTTCATTTGTTCACATATTATACATTAACTTAGTAGTAAACTAATATAGAATTTATAATAATACATAAAATTAGTGCAATTAAATGAATAACTGTTAATATCGAATGATCAATTTTTATGTATAAATTTAGATTACATTTAATAATCCTGATACATAAAAACAAAGTTGTATATTTTTATTGGTATACGTATAATGTTGTGTACCTAGTAAAATACATCAACGTAATATATTTTTACGTATATTCAGTTTTTTTGCATTTATGGCATTTTACATAATTATAAGTGTATGGTATTCATATATAACATTTTTTGAAAAGAACAATATAATAAATACGATATATTTTTGTTTAATCCAATAATATAATGATGTGAAAATTATATTACCATGTGAAATCATATCCAATGAAATCATATGAAATAATAATTTTTTACAGATATATAAAAAACGTAAGATGATTTGTTAATATGTGCGACTAATTATTATTTCAGCTGTTATTTAGTAATATTTTAGAAGCAAAATTATTTGATTTCTGCAAACGTAATGTATCTTGTATGAATAGATTTGAATTTAAGGTAAATAATATAGATTTTATTATATACATTGTAAAAATGTAAATTTATATATTATGCAGATATAGGAATAATTATTAACACTATTTTTTTTTAATAAATGAAATTTTATATTGTTAAGAGCCTTTAATATTGATTATACGGAAAAATATATTTTGGACATGTTCGTCATTTTTTTATTTTTTTTTTCTTATGATTAAATAATAATAATATACGCAATATTATATATAAATTTATATATTATTTTTTATTATTATTAATGAATTATATTACGTTTTAAAGAATGAATTAATATAATAATATTCAATTTTTGAACATGTTACATATGCATGCTACATTTTTATTTACCTTGGAGAGTAATTAAATAAAAATAAATAAATCCTAATATTTAATTAGTTCGAAGATGTTCATAATGGCACTTTACTTACAAAACAGTTATTTAAATGAATGTCATACGATAAATAAATATATGAATATATAAATTCACTATATAATGAAAAAATTCAAATATAAAATTGAATGTAAATTATTCAGTATATAATTATTATATATAGGTATTTATTTTTACTATTTTTTTAAAATATAGCTACATAAATCAAAAGGTTTTTACAAATAAAAACATTTATATTATAGATTAAATGAAATTGTATATTATCTTATGGATATTACCTGCATGCTGGATGATAAGGAAGAAGTTTTTTCACACTTCTCGAATTAACCTTTGAAGTTTTAAAAATATTATTATTGAGGTTTAAGGCGTTACCTTATTTAGAATTTCACAATTTCTTTATATTATTATGAATCTATAAGGAAAAATGCATAAATAAATAATATGTATGGATAACACCACAATTTCATGTGTGCAGCATTTACTTAGATAATTATATAGTGGGCCTTTTAAAATATTTCTACGGATATTTTTGTATACGAGCCATTTATGAAGGATGATTGTAATGTATTATGCAGTTTATATACTTCATTATGTGCACATAATATGTATAAAATGACATCACTGCTTTATTCTAAAATCATATGCATCTTATCAAGGTTATATTACATCAATGTTTATTTCACAAGTATTGTAAGTATAAAAATAGTTTATTTGAAAAAATTGGAAAATACTAATTAGTTTACTTTCCTACATTTAATATTGAAATATTGTAGCTGTAAAATAATGTATTATTTGATATGTTGCTTATCCAATGAAAGTAAAAATAAATGTTGTTTATATTATAGTTATTTTTTTAAGGTAGAGTAATAAATAAATTCCTACATATATATTATGTCGTAATGAAATATCCCTTTTATTTACTTTGTAAATTGATATTTTTTATTTTTTTATTGTGGAGTAATATTAAGATAGAAAAAATATTTAAAGAGTATGTTTTAAATAATTATACATTTGATGATATGCAGTGAATGATAAAAGTTATGATAATATACATCCATATAAGAATAAATTTTTATATTTCATTTTTTCCAAATATATATTTCTTCTTTAATGTTTATGATAACTTTGCATTTCTTTTAATATATATATGCTATAATATTCATTAAAATAGGTTCTTAATATAATAATATAATAATATATCAATTTATTATATATTATATACATATGCCCTATGACGTATAGAACAATTGATGATGTAAATTATTAATTTTGACTAATTTTTATATTTTTTAAAGGTCTATTTTACATAATAAATTATTAGAGCCTTTCCTAGTTTATTTAACAGTATTAATCACATATTGTACGTTATTTAATTAAAAATATATTTGTATAAATAAACCAATGATATAGATTAATAAATTAAATAATATCCTGGAACTTATATGAAATATAATTATGATATACAAATATATACAGTAATTTTATATATTAGTATATATATGCTCTATATAACAAAGAAAGTAGTTTCTTTTAATATTACAAAAAATTTACACAAAAAAAATGTGGAACAATTTTACGATGGAATATATTCATACATATTTATATTCTCTTTTTCCCTTATCTATTTAGTGAATTATATGTAATAAATAAATGTATTATTGATATAGTACAAATTTCCATAAACTCCTCAGAATTAAGTAAAAATATGAAAAATATAGGTATATTACATGTAAAAGAAAAAATGTAAGCTTTATTACTTTTCTTATTGTAGCCATTGTGAATTATAATAATAGATTAGTTAAATGTACACTTCTTATCCTTACAATTTTGTTTCCATAAAAAAAAAATCATATTTTTTAAGGGAATTTTAAATTAAAATTTTTTAATATGATTCAACTGAATCATATAAATTATATATGTACTATAACTATTTTTTGTCTCAATAACTTAAGGTAATCACTTATTATTGTTGTTTTATTGTAAGGAAAAGATATTCAAGCAACTTTTTACAAGCCTTATTTGATTATTTAATAATTTTTATATACAAATATAAATTATTCACTAGAAAAAAAAAATTGAATGCGTTTAAATAACAAAAAAAAAAAATAATGCCATGCATTAAGTAAATAATATAATGTAATTATAATTCTTATATTATATATAATATGCGTACGCCCTAAAACATTGTGTATACGTTACAATAAAAATTAGACGAACATTAAACATATACAGACTAAAATTATTATAAATTAAAAAAATTGTAATAATGAAAATATTATAAAAAATATATATTTTTATGAGTAAAGAAAATGTTCAAAAGAAAAATGTTTAAATAGCATAAAAATAATATAAAATTATTACATCTACTGAATTTAATTATTGTAATCAAATGAATTATACTTTTATTTGAAATATGATTACAACATTATAAAGATTTCAACTATAATAAGAGTATTCAAGAAAAACTAATATATTAATGCATAATAAGTAGTATTTTATTCCTGATGTTATCAATCATATATAAGCAATATTTAATGTATTTTTTTAATAATATATCCCCTGTATTTTAAGTAGAAGTAGTCATTATTATTCTGATACTTCTCTTTTATTGAGGTTATTTATATTAAATATAGTTTTTACACATAATATTAATTTTCGCTTTGTTACATTCTGTTACTAGGATGTATTGAAATTACATAAAATATATTTATATAATAAGCATTATACAAAATGTTATATACAGTATTAGGATGGTTTCCTTGGTAGTGTTATATATCAATACATTGATTAAATATGAAGTATGCTGTAAATATAATAATTTAAAAAATATTATTAAACATTATAATTTTTTTTAATTTAAATAAATCCTAACATAATATATTTTTATTAACGAATATGATAATATAATGATACAACACTTTAATATATTTTATTGTGCTATATGAGAATTTAATATATTTACTCAATGGTCAATAAAATATATTTGCTATAAATGAACTTTTCATAAAATGTTCTCTGTTTAATCCTTATAAATATACATTTCAGTAATATAATATTTTCCTTTTGGATTCGCTTGTTTTATTTAAAAATATCTATTTACAATATATTAGGGTTTAACAATGAGGATCTATAATGCATTACATTTTAATGTATTCAACACGTAAAATGTTTTTCTGGAAGTATGAATATTTAATAGCATTTTTTTATCTTATTATTTGTTTTATTAATTTTACAATGAATTATTAAATATTTTATACTAATCTACTTATTATAATATATTTTTTTAGAATTTTATTAATTATGTAGCTTCAACAAATATTTTATTTAGACATATTATGTTATTATACAATTCCATAGACATCAGGTTGGAATAATTATTAATACAAATAAAATTAATATATAATAATTGGCAATTCATATCCTCTGAATATTAATTTCTCCAATTTTTTGGCAACTATATCTATTTCTTCTCACATAGAAATATTTCAAAAATCACGCGTCATTTGTTGTCTAAAAGAACAAAAACTTTAGTATATTTCTTTATTATTATATGCTAACATTAATATTATTTCTTTTGAATAATTAATTAATTTTTCTCTCTACGAAAACGCAATCACTTATTTGTATTTTTTTTACACTACAGAAACTATGTTATATTTATTAATTGTCTTTATATTTTTATTAGTAATCTAAAGATTTATATGATATTAGATAATTTTCATCAGTTAAATTTTTATATGTTTCATCAAATAAATCCATTAAAATAGGTAGTTCATTATTTTTTCCATTCCGCATATTCTTTAACTTCTTTAGGCATGGTTTTACATATGAGCCATAAGGGGTATACTAATAACAAAGAAATAATATTAAATTTTTGTGAATATAACATATGTTTGATATAAATTTGTCGAAATCATGCGTAGTATGAAACATAATGCAATATGAATTTTTAAACTAAATTTATAATTAACTTTATATAAAACGAATATAATTATTAATATTGTGAAAGTTAAAATAGATACAATTAAAATAACCATGCGGATATCCCTCTTGTCAGCTTGATGTAATATTTTTAGAACTACAGAGCAATCATTTTCAGATTTTGCACCTTTCATATATTCATCTTTAAATTTCCTCACTTCTTTACAAAAGCTACTATCATTTCCATTTGGACATAAGTTAGATACTTTTGTATATTCTTCAATATACGTACTATCTGAAGGGCATTTATCAATATCTTCTATTAGATTCTCTTTGTAATAATACAACCAATTTAGGTTTTTAAATTTAGAAAATGTGTCTTCGCTAAGATTTTTAATATAATACTTACATACACCAAGTTCACTTTTCCTTTGTGTTTGGTATACCTCTATCATTTTATCATAACAATCTTCCTCTGCATTGCAAGAAGGATTAATCCTTTTGTGTTCACTTTTTAGTATGAAGTTGAAATATTTACAATTTCGTTTCTTATATTCTTCATCTGATTCATTTTTTATATTTTCTAAGTAGTGACTCAGAACCTTACAAATCCATGAAAAAATTTGAACATCAATACCTAATTGTGATTTAATAAGAACGCAAGAATTATTATAAGGATCTATAAGGGAATAATCATTAATGCTACTTTCAACCCTTCTATAATATTGTATGCATGTGGGAAATATATCAGTAAAATCAAACTAAAAACGAAAGTCATGATATTGTAAATATTATATATATTTTTATGAAAATATTTTATTCTGCTTTTTCACAAGTAATCATATTATAAATTTAAGTAATACAAATTTTATGAAAAAATTTATATACATTGTTTTCATCTGTAATGACAACCATTGTATTTTATGTATAAGAATTTAAGGGAAGAAGAATTTTATTTATTTTATAATGAAATTTGTATTAAAGACATCTGAATAAATATTTAAATGATGCCATATATATTAATTCATACAACATTTAATATTTTAAGAATTCCTTTAACTTTTATATTCCTATTATATTATAAACTTATATTAATATATGACAATATTGTTCGTTCGTTATAAGGATACACTGTTTTCATGTAATACCTAGTTTGAAAAATATATTTATAACATTGTAATTGTATGAAAGTAATAAAAAATGGATACTAATTTTAAAATATATATACAAAATACTATAATAAAATAATTATTTTCTATATAAAATAAAAGGGAACTATTTTCATATATTCTATTACATTAACCTAGCTTATTTATTTATTTATTTCATATTAATAACTTTTAAAAATTTCATATAAATTAACCTTTTCATAAAATGCGTATGCATAAAATTTAAGAATTTTAATTTATTATCTTAAGATATAAAATATGATAAATGATTATTCAAATGTATTATTGTAATTTGCGTGGATAGTATTTAATTTAGATTCAATATATGTATAACTGCCTTATTTCTATATAATATTATTAAATTATTATATTATGTATTATAATATAATCCCATAGGATAATTGTACATATATATTAGTTTTTCTTTTGTTTAGTTAGATGATTAATACATGTTATTAAGCATACATATCTGATACATTATTGTTTATGTAATATAATTATCATATGTATATATATTCCATATAAAAATTAGAATTATAAATTTTACACATATTATGAAAATGTACACTATTATTTTAACTTTTATTTTGTGAAATGTTAAATTACATTAATAAAATAATAATTATATTGTAATAAGTCACATATTTTAAAACATGGTAATTTATATTTTTTATTAATAACAATTTATACTAAAATTATATTTTATAACTATTTCTATATTTTATTTGTAAGCTTTTATTTTAGTTATAATACATTAAAAAACAATATTCACTATATAATACAAATTTATGCTTTATAAAATGCATTAAAATAACATTTATGACATTTATATTAATGAATAAGTATAAATCAACAATAATTATATTAGTTGTGTGTTTATTGCATATTTCTGTATTATGTGTATTATTATATTATTTTTTTTAATGATAATTTAAAATAGAATATGTATTATATTAGTATATTTACAATAAATATATCATACAACTAATTCTAATAACTTAATTAAATCTACATTATATTCATTAAGGTAATATTTTTTAATCATCAATTTATTAAATATGGCAATTAAAAAATAAAATAAAAATTTTTGATTTTACTTCATTGGAGCATAGTTATTATTTTCAAATTTTATAAAAAGTAAGAATTATATTTTTTTCATAAAATAACTTTTATTTGGTATCATATATGCAATATTTAATACAAGAAAAAATTATTTGTAGAATTCTACTTTCATTCCAGTTCTGTTAAACACTGAGTGTATAATTATTATAAAATGAAATAATTTTTATCACAATTATAAGCTTCACGATGAAAAAATTTATTAAATAAAAGGTACGATATGGATTTAAATTAATTTGTTATAAATGAACTTGTTTATTGTGCATGAATCAACAAATATGTATATATTTATTATTTCCTATTCATCTAGAGAAGTAATTAAAGCACAAAATACAAAACATATATATATATATAT